ATACATGACTTGAGTGGAGAATTTGGCCATTGCCAAAACTCCCATATATACTTATTCACAAAAGATCTCTGGGCAACTGCCGCTTCAACTTTCGAGGAGGATTGTAGGGATTGGTGGTGATGGATATTGTATAGAAGCATGTATGTATTTAAGTTGTTAATTTCATTAGCTTAGTTCCTTTTTGTTTAGTTTAGTTTATATATATTTACTTTTAGTATTATTATTTTTCTGTATTATTTATTTTTATTTATTGTGAATGGAGTGTGAATATGCTCTTTGAACACTATTATAAATGTCCTTCATTGTGACAGATTGTAATATCTAATAAAGATATGAGTTTGTGTTTGTGTGTGTATCTATTTAGTAATAAAAATATCAGGAGTCAAATTATCATTGCCTTAACTACAGCAGCTTCTAATGAGAAAAAGGTTTCCTACCAATGGTATGAACCATATGTGGGGAAGCGAGTCTCAGACGCCGCATGTGGACCACTGACGTAGTTGCGGCATCTCAACGTTTTTGAACGAGATTTATTAATATAGTGCTAGAATTAATTAATATTTATTTCAGTAACAACAATTTGGAAATTAATAGAATTAAGTTGAATGTATGTATGTGAATGGGTGTATTTAGTGATAAATAAAAAGGCAATGGTAAAATATAAAGATTTATTGTGGCCACCATCAACATTGCCTTACCTTACTGTGGCCTCTAATGATAAAAATGTTCTCCACCAGTTGTATAAACTATATTCCAAAATCGGTTTAATCTGTATATTTAACCAATTTTTGTGTCAATATAGGAAAGCGGTTTCCTTAAGTCCAGACTGTGAATTGGTTGATTTTCCAACAACTTGACGTTAGAAATATTATACGATTATATCCTTTCATTTGTTTAAAACTAGTTTTATGAAAGTTGCAGGTGTTTACCTTTCCCGTGAATAGAATCTCAAAACTTGATCCATTTGAGACAAAATTACATCAACAATGCCCCGATCGGAAAGCGGACTTGGTGATACTATTTCTACACAATAACGACTATCTATCGATCAATGAGTCATTAGTTCTGAGTCCATTACAGATCGAATATAAAACAAGGATCGAAGTAATCGAAGATCTAGAATATTGAAATGTTAGTTTGAAGCGAGGTAATATTTCATCTGGCTTAGAGGCATCTAGGCAATCCTTACATCCATCAAGGCGAAAGAAGATGGATAGGTGAAGACAAAGAGGAAGAGCATTGTGCCCTGGGATGTGGAAGGGGTCCTGAGGGCTTGTGAGGTTCTGCCATTAGCGTTAGTCACCTTTTGTCCAGGGGGCTTATAGTCTCAACGGGATCTGGCAACGTCTTTCATTTTACTCATTTCACTGGCTGTCCTAATTTTTCTTTGGTGACAGATCGGCCTGTCTTGTAATTTCTAAAATTACTTAGATCATAATTCTTTCCTTGGTGTAATGTTTACGACACTCGACAAAAGTATTCCATTTTCTATACGTTTTGGTGTAAAATATTTCCTTCATAATTGAAATGCAATTATTATTCAGTTGTATGTGTCATGTTGCAGAATTTAACCAGACTTAAAATGTTGAATCGTGTACAAAAAACGGTAAATAATATATACGTCAACATTCAAATATATATAAAGTTCAAATACCAATAGTATCTAGTTATATCAATGAAGGCAGCAACTTTATTCTATCTACTGAAGATAAATATGTCCCATTCAATTAAATACCCAGTATTCATTATGACGATTCTAACTTAAGGGAGCGGAATAGCTCAGTAGGTCAGCACCGACTTCAAGAGCTGAAGGTTCCAGGTTCGAATCCGGCTGATGACTAGTATAATTTTTCGTCTTCCGTGGATCGACCCTGGGGCTAGTAGGAGACGCTCTTGGTGCCAGTCTCTATAAAGTAGGTACTCTTAATCAAATAATTATTTAAGGGGAAAAACCTGGCGGTCGAGGGTGATATGGGCCCATCACCTCCATGCACAACCGTTGGTCATGTAACATTACTTCCTCAAATTGTACTAAACCCAAGACCCTTCACGAGTTGTTAGTGGCACTAGTTTTTTTTATGATTCTATACTTACAGCATTCCATCTAATTAAAACAATAATGAGCAGTTTGTTAGGTAGTGATTAATTTAAAAAATAATGTTTAATGTATATCGACGTTTCAGTTTTAGGCTTAGACCGAAAGATGTGGGATACTTGATTAGTATTTTTCGAATATGATTAGCAAGTATCTATGGCTTGTTTAGGCTATATCACTTCTTTTTTTTTATCGTAGATCGAGGTTGCCGATTGTTTTTAAGTAACAATTCAGCTATTTCGTGGTAGAAATGAGACCGCTTCGAATTCTATGGAGCTCCAGTTCCATATCTTAATCTAACTCTGTAATAAACCTCCAGCTTCGCACACTGGCGAAAATTGATTAATAGCCTGTAGGATAAACCAGTTCTTCCTTTCCTAGTTGGAGAGTATAAAGTCGTTGAACTCCATAATCCATTTGCCACATGCCCAACATTTGAATTTTCACCCTGAAATAAAAAGATGGTCTGATTTGATTCGATTTTTTTCTAAGCAATACATGAAAAATAGTCTGCATTAACCATAAGCCCGGAGTTTAAGAAGTATTTGGGGGCGGTGAAGATTAGTTTAACATAAAATCAGTGCTCTATGCATCAAAGAAGTCGGAGATTGTTAGCCATGCGTAAAGGTACCATACACAAAGACACAGTAATCAAATTATTGCCTGCATTATAATATAATAAATTATTTCTTGAAGATATTTTTTGTCGGTAGGCCATATATCCGTTAGTACCACATCAAATTCATTGATGATATTAAAGTTTATCTTCTCCTTCAGGAGGGAGAAATAATAACATCCTTAAAAAAGAAACAGGAAAAACGTTTAAATTAAAAAAATATTAATTTGCGTATAACTCAGAAAGTTAATGATGCTTCTGTCCCACGAAATGAATCTCGACCTTCCAACTCTGTTAAGAATCGGTTAAGTTGTATCTCTGAAACCATGTACGGATAACGAGAAAAAAACATTAATGGTGCTAAATAGCGTATATAGCTTGGACAGCTTCCAAAAAAAAAAAAAAAAAATCATTCAAATCTGATCATATTTAGACAAGACATAGGCAATTGTATTTTGAACACATGTTTTTGTTTAGTCTTAGGAAAGACTCTGTAATCGACAAAGACGATCTGTACGTTAAAAAACACAATTCTTCCCTCTTACAATACATTGCATTTACTTATTTCTATGCTCTATTTCATTTGTCATTCCATTTGTTCACTCACCAATATACTAAACGAATAATCGGTTCGAACCAACTAGTAACATAATTATTATTTATATAGTTTATTAACACTGTATTTATATAGTTTATAATTTTTTAACACTGTGAGTTATTTTAAGTAAATGACTGCGAAATGTTGAAAGGGGGTACCACTTCATAAAATAGTGGTGGGAAGTGAGGTGCCTCCTCTCCTCCATCCCATTGTCGGCGCCTATTATAATAACTATATTTTTTTATATATTACATAACACATACACTGAAAGTGTGTGTTTCGATATGATTTAAGAGATAAATTGTGTGACTGTAACTATTGATAGGGCAATAAACTCGTACGATTAAAAAAGGAAGTAAATTAATGGGCTCCTGCAACTTAATCGAAAATTGAATTGTCATTTTTATGGGATTGATGCCAATCATGAAAGAACATTAAAATAGAAAAAAAAATACACTTTTTTTTCTTATGAAGTATAATATTTATTATTATATATTGGTAATATAAAGAAATGTGGCTCGTTAAAATCTGCTAATAGGATTTTGGGCGATAATGACAGAACTTCAACTGATATGGATGGCTCTTCTAACAGAACCTTACATTGACTTCAGGAATACATTTTCACAGCTGTCTTCCAAGAACGGTGATCGATGCAGGTTCGTGCCTTTTTCAACTTCTCACTGATTAGGGATGCAGAACAAGTAACAACTTTGTCAAGTATCATCCATCGCTTACCCAAAACTTTAGTGCTACTTAACAAACAGCATTAAAGATAAAAACTTCAATAATAGACCTTTTTAAAGTTAGTAACTTTATTTGTAGGTTTTAAACTTGGTAGAATTAAACTTTTTTTAATACTTAATGAAATTCAGATTATTATTAAAAAATCTATAAACAATATTAAATACTGTGAAACTTTCCAAGGAGGGTTTCTAGTTATAGACTAATCGTGATTCTAAAAATCTCGCAACAAGTGCTCATGAAATACCGTACGACATAATTTCATATCATAGCTTTTCAATTGTTTTTGTTGAATTGTTGAAAAAAAACATAACGAACAAGACTCCTTGTGCCAAGACACCTTGTGAATTCATGGTTGCATTTTTATGTTTATATTTATTTTTATCTGCATTAAATGAATTACTCTTATTTAGTCAAGATCTGAACAAGGTAAGAGCGTAGGAGGCACTTGCCTTGTGTAGTAGGATTTAGGGTACGGAAAATTTCGAACAAAATTGTATTTTTTATTTTAAATGTAAAATATTTGGTTCTCCGGGCATATTTATGTTATAATTTAATTTAAGAGAAGTATGTATCATTATACTATTGTTGTATTTTCAATTAACCTATTTTTAATATGTACTTATTATTAAAACTGTCCTATTGTTACAAACTGTTAAATTTTATTACGGGAAAAATGACAGGACTAAAGAGGTGGTAAAATTAAACATGGCCCTTCCAGAAATTATTACGAGTTCTGACCTGTATTTATTCACTATTTATATTACCTACACTAGTATCTATGACAGATCATTTTAAAAATTAGTATTTCCATTAACAATAGTTTAATGTAGATATTATTGAAAAATCAATTCTATATTCAATCAAATAATATATTCAAAATTATAAAATTATTTATATTTCTTATGAAGTTTAAATAATATTTTTTATTTATTTTGTTTTGTTTTCAGGAATTTTATACTTAAGAGATCAGCAATTGAAAAATCATATGCAGAGGTAAGCTTATTTAGTTAGATTAAATTTAAGTTAGTAAGGGTTGTAGTCTGAGAGGAAATATAATATGACAATATTAATTAAATATATTATTAATAGCTAAATATTATTATGTATTGATAATTAATAATGATATTTGAAATGTACTGATAGATAGGTAATATATTTATTTACTTAAATACAATGTAGCCATTGTATACATAAACCTGGAAACCCCATATCGCCCTTATCTCCTGTAAGTCAATAGATACCCTTAAGCTATTTCCTCGCTCCCGCCACCTACTCCCACAACCCATCCGCAAGCTCCTTGTATCCCCTCTCATTTCCCCCCACTTTGACTACGGCTGTGTGGTGTACGGAGGCATCCCGATGGTACTCGAGGATAGATTGAAGCGACTCATGAATACGTGCTTAAGATTTGTCTTCGGTACATCGAGGCGGTCTCATGTGTCCCACATTTACGACGAGTTAAAGTGGCTCTTCCCTTCTTTCCGCAGACAATATTTTCTCGGATCTTTCCTATTCCATACAATCAACACTAGACACCCTTCCTACATCTACAGTCTCCTACAGTTTAAACCCGTGGTCCACTCCCAGAAAACAAGATCCCGTGTTTCCGACCTTTATATCCCTTCCCATAGAACTAAGACGTTTGAATATTCCTTTATTGCCCGATCCACAGCCTTCTGGAATTCCTTGCGATCTGAAATCCGCCATGCCTCTTCCTTGTCCTCATTTAAATATCATCTTTACCAATTCCTTCTCACATCCCAAAATGACGTTATACAATAAAATAAATATTGCGAAACAGATTTCGACTGAGGTGAATGGTTGATAAAATTGAGTGAGTTTTAATTTTAAAAATCAACTCATGCTTATTTTATTTTCATTTAAATAATGTTGTTTTTTTTTATATTTCGTTTTTTCTCAAAATTTTATTTTATTTTTACTTGTTTTAATTTAATTTCACTGAAGATACTGTATATATTCTTTAATATTGATTAAAGTAATTTTTGGCCAGATGTAATTTTAATTTTATTTTTTGTTCATATCTGTTATTCATAAGGGACCTTGTCCCAGAATAAAGTTTACTTTCTATTCTATTCTATTCTAAATACATAGTCTTGTCTAGGAGGTGTTAGTTTAGATCAGAAGTATCCAAACTTTTCGACCCGCGGGCTTAGAAAAGAGCTTTCTAAGAGAAAAAAGAAATGCAATTGTGTATTAAGCTCTTGCATGAGTAATTTGATAAATTTAATATTTTTTAAACAGCTTTATAATTTTACCATGTAACCAAAGAAACGTTCTAAGGCCAGATCTGGTCCTTATAGGTGCTGGTAGTTTGGAGACCTCTGGTTTAGATTATCCATATTACAGACCATACATATGTTCAGCATTATTAAAAATTATATAACCGTACAGATAATAATAAAGTAATAATAATTGTACAGTTTCCAACAATAATTTAATATTAATATAAAATTTATAACATATTTTTTTTTTTTTTTTTGCTAACCGCCCCTAACTTCCTAGCCTTCATTAAATAAATTTATCAAAAAATACTATAAAAAATTTTTTTTTTCCACATTTCATTTATTTTATTCCGAAAATAATTCACATTTTACTATATATGAATTGTAAAATTTGTAATTCAGGATAAATAAATTCAATTATATAAGGTCCAATGAAACAGTCAATTTATATTTATACGTAGGCATTGTATGTGATCGGTATAAGAATGCCAATAAAATACATGAGGCCCAGTTCGTTTTCGAAATTGAATTTTTATTTTTACTTACCTATTTATGAAATATATAGTAAGGGATAGTATTTCGATCATGAACATTTCCGACTCTGAGTTTTCAACTGAAATACATGTTTTGAGATCACCTGAGTCAAAATAACTAAGTCCCGCAAAATGGTCAGTGTGTGTGTATGCATGTGAACAGCCTAGCTCAAAAACGAAAAGTTGTACGAAAGTGAAATATATTTAAGGTTTGTATATAACTTCTCTGTTTCAGTAACATTTTCGTAAAAATCGGCTAACCGAAAGTGCCACTTTATATCAACGGTGAAACACATTTTACAATTTTCTTAAATACGGCTCTAACGATTTTGAATAAACTCAGTGTAGTATTGTGTAATCAAGTGGTTGGTCTTTAATATCATTTAGAGCGGATCTTCATTGATGTCACTTTACAGGGTTAAAATGCCTAATGTTCATATACGTTTTCCTCTACCTTACGTACCATTATAATTATCTACCATATACGTACCTTTAATATGGTTTATCCAACCTTTATAAAAATTATCTCTTTTTTATTGACAATAAATATAAAAAATGGCTAAATATGAAGTTTGAAAGAATATGATAATAGAAAACTGGAGAAAAAAAAAGAAAAATGCTTATCCATGTCGAAAATGAATCACCGGAAATACTAGTCAGAGGGTATGGGTATAATATATATTTGTGGAAAGCCCAGAATTCTAGAAAAAAAAACAATATCTAATATAGAAAGTTGTAGAAGGTTACGGAGAGTGGCGAACAAACTATAAATAATAATTTTTGAAAACTAATATTATTTAAAGTAAATCACTTGTTTTCAAGGAAATTAAATGAAATTGTTTTACTAAATGTTTTTAGTAACTTTGAAAATGTTTTTTAAGTATTTAAAATCTACGGTTTCAAGGCAATGATATTGTTTAATATACTATTTCATTGTACGTGTGTGAAAAAAGAAGTGAAATATAAAAATATTTCATGGATATGTTATGTATGGATTCTTGTTATAAAATCCTGATGCTCCAAACCCACAATTGTACTATTCTGTATAATTGTAAAGGCACTTGTACGAGAATAAATAACACATATCTATATCACCGCAATCCCATCCATTTCTGCAGCTAACCCTATATATCGCTTTATCCAAATTTATTTCGAGTCCTAGTTTTTTACCTGCTGTTATTAACACTGTTAAATCATATTTGACAATTTATGTGTCTTCACTTACCAGTTCCAGAATATGAGAAAAATGTAAACATAGCACAAAGAAAAAAGTTAAGTTGAAGAGTTATCTGAACTTTATCACGTTTTAGTGAATTCGCATAACTTCATATTTTTCTGCCGGTACCACCACTCTATCCTCTTTACTATCGGACAAATTTTACTAGCTATTATATTCAATTTTTGACCTTTTTTTATGTCATGTGCGATGGACTGGAGAAGCTTAACAGGCTATAGCCATTTTTCAATGCGAATTTGTTGTCACACTACATCCCTCCTAATCGACAGAGTCATCGAAGTAGACTTTTGGATTCACAACTCTTCCTAACCTTGTCTTGTAGGGCATTGAATCTCAGTCTAGGTCTACTATATATATATATATATATATAGATTAGTTGATAATTTGTAGCAATGTTTGTTCTGGTATCATCCTCTGCTTAAATGTAGGCTGGTTTCAACCTATTTATAGAGACAGTGAGTGACCTCTTTGCTGCCTTTCTGGATAAGGAATTGGTAGTCCATGCGATGGATAACCTTGTGAGTTTCTGAGTATGGAGGGATACACGGTTTCCGCATAGTGTCTCACTCGCAAAAAAACATGATTGTAGTCTTAGATCCTTTTAGAGGAATAATTTCCTGCTTATGTTGGCTATTTACATCGTCAGTTAACAGGGTTATGTTTGGACTGCGTAAAGTTGTGCTAAACGCCTTGTTTTCAGAAATAAATCCAATCTAGATATACGACTTCAAAACTGAAGCAATCGTCATTATTTTTTTTTATTATTTTTAATCGAAAGAAATAAAAAATAAAGCGATAACTCTCTGTTGTTATTTTTTTTATTATGACGGCATCATGTTTTAAACTTTTAAAAAATCTGAATTAAAATAACTAATAATTCAAGTCAACATCACCGGTCGAAAATTTTGATCAGAAAGATTTAAATAAAACTGACTTAATAAATGTTAAAATATGTAGATTTACAATAATTACAAATTGTAATTATAATTTTAATTGGAACTAAAGATTCGAGCTTATTTTTTTCCGTTTTTTTTTTTTTAAATCAATATTATCTGATTAAAAATATTGTTATTTTAAAATTGCTAATATTGTTGTGTTTTATGATGTTTTTATCTCATTATCTCCTGAAATCATCGTTGAAAAAATTTCATAGATTTGAGATTTGTTAAGAATGTAGTTCTGTTTTATTTATTTAGTTTAGTTTATTAAGGAAGGCAGTGGATCAGCTGATGCGAAAGGTCGTGCTTCTACATCGTCTCTCAGAATTTGCTTATTTTCCAGTGAAATCTTTGAGATTATTTATTCAAAACAGGTCAAGAGTACATAACAACAATTGATATTTATTGTTTGTTATAAATTATAGGGTTATTTTTATTTTATTATTTTTTTTTATTTTTTTTTTTGCCCTTATATGCGATATCACCATCAGGCCATGTCTGGTAGAGCGTCTATCAAGAGAATTCGACCGTTAGGCTCAACACCTTGTTCTTCGCCTGTCAAACAAAGGCCTCGTCAATGTCGTCAAACACCTGCAGTAACGCCTATTAGCTCCAGAGAAAATGAAACCCAGCCAGGAACATCATCAAAACCAACAATTGAAGAACTTCAGCATCAACCAGGTACATCTTCATAAGAGATAACCGAACAATCTCCGTGTTTCACCCCTAACCTTTATCAGGTGCTTCAGAATGATAAAGAAGTGATGGAATCCGCTTCAATACCAAGAGATCCCCGACCTCCACCCATATTCGTTAAAAACATAAAAAAATTTCAGTTACTATGCTCACAACTGAACAAAATAACAGGCTCTGGAAGTTATTCATGTCTAAGCAGAACAGAGGACACGAAGATATCATCAGATACAGCTGAAACCTACAGAAAAATAGTGAAGTATCTAACGGAAACCAACGCGGATTTTCATACCTACCAATTACGACAAGATCGAGCTTTGAGGGTAGTCATAAGAAATCTACACCCCTC